TATATACTGTATGTATATATGCATGTGTATATATATATTATTATATATATTTTTTTTTGTATATTTAAAATGTGGTGAAATGTGAAATATATGACCAGAATAAAATATAAATGTTTTTTGATATATAAATGTTTTTTATCACCAAGTAATACAGTTAACTGGACTAATTGTAATCTGTTTATTGACATTTTACAGTGGCTTTGAAGGCAGCTCATCCAGTAAGCATTAAGGATCTGGCGAACTCTCCCTTTAATAAACTGCTAACATGCATTAAGAACATCAGGCTGAAATGCATGACTGATCTGTCTATCAGCAACTCTGCATTTCTCTTTCATTCAGTCTAAGATGGATTCGCGGCGGTGTTTGATGTCTCAGCTGTGTTGTGGGCTTTGCTACTGTGAGACGCTCCCTACTTATACCATAATTACTGCATCTGCTCTGTATTTAAAGATTTACAGTGGCTTTGAAGGCAGCTCATCCAGTAAGCATTAAGGATCTGGCGAACTCTCCCTTTAATAAACTGCTAACATGCATTAAGAACATCAGGCTGAAATGCATGACTGATCTGTCTATCAGCAACTCTGCATTTCTCTTTCATTCAGTCTAAGATGGATTCGCGGCGGTGTTTGATGTCTCAGCTGTGTTGTGGGCTTTGCTACTGTGAGACGCTCCCTACTTATACCATAATTACTGCATCTGCTCTGTATTTAAAGACCTCCAACTCAATGTTTTGACAACTTTATGGCCACACTTAACTGTCAGCGAAAGATCTGAAGTGTTCAGAGACATTTTTAGGGGGCAACAATCAGCGCCTGCAAATTTAAAGGCATCAAACACGTAATTTGGTTGCGCAGTGCATTAATGCAAACTTTCAGATGTGAAACAGCTGCCATTATCCAGTGGTTGATATCTTTTCAAATTAAGGATCCTCATTAGACTTTGAATGCATGTCTTTCCTTTCCTACGGAACAATTTATAATACTTGTGCTAGATGTTTGTGCTGCTGTTTTCCCACCACAATGATGTCACTTCCTAGAGGATGATGCCACTGAGGCTTGTGCTAGTTCTAGGGACACAGGAAAAAACATATAAACTGATTATCAATTAAAACAATATTTCCAAAAAAAAAAAAAAAAACATTACATTTTTTAAACAAATTTTATAACTTGTAATTATTTTTATTTGTTACAGTTTATTATGAATCTTTTATATGAAGCACTTTGAATTACCATAGAATTACCTTCTTTTTTATAGTATTTATTTTTAAAATAAAGAAACGGCAAGAATATGTACTAATAAATAAACAAGTTTTCAGTTCAGATCAGGGTTATTATAACTGACTAAAAATAAAAGCGTTGAAAAAATGTTACTAGAAATAAAATAAATGTTAACTGAAATAAAATAGAATAAAAAAAAATGGCCCAATATATTATAATATTATAAAAATGTATTATTATTAAAAATATATATATATATTTCAGCTAGTTGCCAAGGCAACATTTCTCATTTTCATTTAGTTTAAATTGATGTACTAAAATAAACAAAAACTTAAATAAATAAATAAAAATGACTAAAGTACTTTTTGATCAAAGATAAATAAATAAAAAAAATTAAACCAGGACTATATCTTAATATATAAACAAGTTGTTAGTTTACATCAGGGTTATTATAGATTACTAAAACTATTTTTTTTTTAAATAGTCAATTGAAATAAAATAAACTTTAAGTGAAGTAACATTATATTATAATATTATATAATTTATTATAATAAAATTAATTTCAGCTAGTTGCCAAGACAATATTTCTCATTTGTATTTAGTTTAACCTAATGTAGTAAAACAACTGAAATAAAAATGACTAAAAAACATAGACATTTAAAAAAAAAAAAAAAAAACTAATAAAAATGACCAAAGCATATATCACAAATTATTAATAATTAAAATGAAAACAGAAAATCTAAAAACAAAAACTAATTCAAAATATTAATAAAAACCCTAATAATATCACAATGGTATGAATATAACACTGGTTCACATTAGAATGTGAACCTGGGGTGTGACAAAAATGAACATCCACTCAAATCAAAAAAGTCAAAATTAGGATTCCTCCACATGTTTACCTAAAAGTGATACAATTGTTATGCTGATCATATAATTTGCAATAGACTGTATTAAATTAGAAAAAAAGCAAAATAGGCACGTCACAGGTCACCTCCAAAAAAAGAAAAAGCACAATTAGAAAGTGTCAGGCTAATGCAACTGAACGTAGTCGCTCCATTCCATCACACACGGTTTCTACACTCAGTCCAGAATTATCTTTTTGCAAAAGGTTGAAAGGGAAGATCTGAATGAAAGGCAAGGATATAATCACCGCTGCATGTGATGCAACCCATCCGAGGATTTACAGGCCGACATGTGAGGGCAAGCGCGTTTTTACACCGACAGAAGAAAAGAAAAAGCTGCCAATCTCCGAGACGTGAGGAGGACATGCTGGACTCTAAAACAAAAAGACAAGCATCCATTGTATCCAAACCCACACGTCCCAATGCATCCTGGGACACGCAATGTGGGCAAGGTGTGTAAACACATCAGGGCGTGCTGTCATCGCTTTCAAGTGTTGCTGATGAATACATTATTAAAATAGCCGAGGGAAAGTACATCTCCTGAATGGGCCGCTAACATGCAGAAGCTTGAATCCCGCAGTGGCACTGTACACACACGTCCCGCTCAGGACCACAGGCAGGTGTCTGCGGCCAGAGGGCTTTGGGAGAGCTGCCAGATGATTTTGTTTAGAAAGACAATAAGAGCAGTGAGGTTTCGGGTTTCTGAAGATGCAAACTAAGACACTGCGTCTGAGCAGCAGAAGTTGGGAGTTTTGCCCATTGTGTCCATAAAGAATAACTGTTAGCCAAACAATACGCTTATTATGGAGAATGCGTGTGTTTTCCTACCACGTTCGGTCACAGGTGGGAAGTTTTGTGTGATATTTGATGGTGTTCTCTTCCTGACTGTGTGTGAGAAATTAATGTTGCTTTTCAGAAATACAGCACTGCTCAAAAGTTTGAGGTGGGTAAGATTTTTTAATGTTCTTATGCTCACCAAGACTGAATTTATTTGATTAAAAAAAAACAGTAAAAATTTGAAATATTATTTTAATTCAAAATACCTGCTTTCTATGTGAATATCTGTTAAACTGTAATTTATTTCTGTGATCAAAGCTGAATTCTCAGCATCATTACTCCAGTCTTCAGTGTCACATGATCCTTCAGAAATCATTCTAATATGCTGATTTGCCCCTCAGGCAACATTTCTGATTATTATCAATGTTGAAAACAGTTGTGCTGCTTCATATTTTCATGGAAACCATGAATTCAAATAGAAAACAGTTGTTTGTAATAATATTTCACAATATTACTGTTTTACTGTATATTTGATAAAATAAAAAAAATGCAACCTTGGTGACCAGAAGAGACTTCTTTCTAAAACATTAATGCTGATATTATAATCAATGTTGAAAGCAGTTGTGCTGCTTCCTATTTTTGTGGAAACTGTGATATATTTTTATTTGCAGGATTCTTAGATGAATAGAAGGTTCAAAAGAACAGCATTTATTTGAAATATAATTTTTTTTGTAACGTTGTAAATGTCTTTACTGACACTTTTGAACAATTTAATGCATCCTTGATGAATAAAAGTATTAATTTATTTTAAAAAAATAAACAAAACAACCGAAAAAAAACCAAAAAACTTTTAAACAGTAAAAAACAGTTTATATATTTCATAGCTTTCATTAAAGGAAAACGGCAATGCATTTTCTCACCTCATATTGTTACAAATCTTTGGATTAATTTGAATACTGTTCACATTGCTCTCTTCTCCACACAACAAAAATGAACATTCACTGATGTTGCTGAGATCCTAAAATGACAAAAAAGCATCAGGAAAGTAGTTTATATGACTTGTGCATTATATTCAGTCTTCTGAAGTCATACAATAGCTTTACGTTTGAGAAACCCAAATATGAATCATTATTTACTGAAATGCTTCCCCTAGTTTTGAAATTTCATTCACATTTGAACATCTTCATGACATGAAGATGCACCAGATGTGATATCAGTAACTGACCTTGATAACAAGCACCAATTAAATGACTAATGTTAGGGAACATCATTCTAGCTGAGGTTGAAGAGCTGAAGATCTTCAGCGTGAACTCTGGCTCAGGTCATGAGGTGAGCGTAGGAGTGGGCATGCAGATGTTTGTGGATGTGGTTATGATTAAGCAGGTCCAATGAGTGAGCGCTGCACAAAAAATGACCATATTCATAATAGCTACCGCCAAAACACTGTAGTTACACAGTTATTGTTTACTGTGAAACCACAAATTTAAAAAGGATCTCCTTTAAACCACATTAGACACATTCCGAACTTTATATTATAACCACTAACCGTGTTAGGTACTAATATACTCTTGATGTGACATTTAAACAAAGATTGCACCTGAAATAATTAGACGTTGACATTGTTATGGATTAACATCCACCAAAACCTATAAATCACTGTAACATAAACAAATACAGTATATTCTGCATTTACAAAAGAGCACAGTTGTATTAAATGCAAACAAATGTATTAAATGCACTTTGAACATGGGTTAAAATATATGCACTGCGCGTACAGTACTACAGTACATTGAGTTAAATGAAGAAAAGTTCTGACGAAATGGATCAAAATGAAGCAATGCTGCCCTCTGTTGAGTACAGGAGAACACAAAACACTGACCGTAAAGAGAACACCAATATAAACCAACTGACATTTCTGTCTTATGAAATGAAAGTTATATAATAAACAATATTATATGTTTTTATTCAAAAGGTGGACGGCTGAATTACTCTTATGTCTGAATGTTATGAAAGTTATGGAAGTATGGATGACCTATACATGAACAAATACTTTTTTGGTCATGCTTGTCGCAGTCTGCAGCGGGTGTGCCCAGGAGGGCCACCAGATGACTGTGTTCTGGGAGCACATGGCTTGTGTTGTGTTTGTCTGTCGCCATGTGCTCTCTCCTGTCTATTGTCTTGCCCCTCCCATCTTGTTACCTCGTTATAGTTTAAGTTGATCCACCTGTGTCTCCCTCGTTACCAATATAAACCAACTGACATTTCTGTCTTATGAAATGAAAGTTATATAATAAACAATATTATATGTTTTTATTCAAAAGGTGGACGGCTGAATTACTCTTATGTCTGAATGTTATGAAAGTTATGGAAGTATGCACGACCTATACATGAACAAATACTTTTTTGGTCATGCTTGCATTACTCCTTGAGCTCTAACGTATAGTTTAAATATGCAAACATAATCTCATGATAACTATATTGGCATTCTTTCAATTTAAGTGAATGTAAATTAATATAAAATGCCTTTAAAAAAAACGTAATAATATTAAATATTATATAAAATATTAATATTATATATTTTTATAATATATAAATATATATCAAAATGCTTATGAAAAAATATATAATTAATATATAAATATTTATAAATAAATGAATACATACATACATACATACATACATACATACATACATACATACATACATACATACATACATACATACATAAATAAAATGCAAATAATCAAGGGTAAA